TTTCCCAGACAAACAAAAGCTGACAGATTTCGTCAACAGCAGATCTATCCTATAAGAAATGCTAAAGAGAGTTCTTCAATCTGAAAGAAAAAGACATTAATTACCAATAATAAATTATCTGAAGGTATAAAACTTATTAGTAATAACAACACACAGAGTATTATAACACTGCAATTGTGCTGTGTAAAACACTCTTAAGTAGAAAGACTAAATGATGACCCAATCAAAAATAATAATTACAACAACTTTTCAAGACATAGACAGTACAGGCCAGGTGCAGTGGTTGACACCTGTAATCCTAGCACTTTGGGAGGCCGAGGCGGGCAGATCACCTGAAGTCAGGAGTTTGAGATCAGCCTGGCCAACATGGTGAAACCCCGACTCTACTAAAAATACAACAAGTAGCCGGGCATGGTGGTGGGTGCCAGTAATCCCTGCTACTCAGGAGGCTGGGGCAGGAGAATTGCTTGAACCCGGGAGGCAGAGGCTGCAGTGAGCCAAGATCACCCCACTGCACTCCAGCCTGGGTGAAAAGAGGGAAACTCCGTCGGAAAAAAAAAAAAAAGACATAGACAGTACAATAAGACATACAGAGAAAACAAAAAGTTAAAAAGGGAAATTAAGTTAAAGTGTAGTTTTCATTAGTTTTCTTTTTGCTTGTTGGTTGGTTTATGCAATCAGTGTTAAGTTGTCATTAGTTTAAAATAATGGGTTATAAGAGTATTTGCAAACCTCATGGTAACCTCAAAGCAAAAAACATAAGATGGGGCTGGGCATGGTGGTTCATGCCCATAATTCCAGCACTTTGGGAGGCCGAGGTGGGAGGATCACTTGAGCCTAGGAGTTCAAGAAAAGTTCAGCCTGGGAAACATGACAAAACCCCATCACTACAAGAAATACAAAAAGTTATCTGGGTGTGGTGGCACGTGCCTGTAGTCCAAGCTACTTTGGAGGCTGAGGTGGGAAGATCTCTTGAGCCTGGGAAGTCAAGGGTACAGTGAGTCAAGATCGTGCCACTGCACTCCAGCCTGGGCAACAGAGCAAGACCCTGTCTGGAAAAAAAAAAAAAAGATACAATGGAGACACAAAAAAATAAAACAAGAAATTAAATCGTGCCACCAGAAAAAAATTACCATCACTAAAGGGAAGACAGGAAGGAAGGAAAGAAGGAAGGAAGAGAAGACCAAAAAACAACCAGAGAACAAATAACAAAATGGCAGGAAAAAGTCTCAACTTACCAATAAAAAAAATTGAATGTAAATGGACTAAACTCTCCAATCAAAAGATAGAGTGGCCGAATGGATTAAAAAAAAGCAAGAAACAATGATCTGTTGTGTACAAGAAGCACACTTCATCTGTAAAGATACGCTGAAAATAAAGGGATGGAAAAAGATATTCCATGCCAATGGAAACCAAAAAAGAGTAGGAGTACCTGTACTTATATCAAACAAAATAGATTTCAAGACAAAAAGCTGTAAGAAGAGACAAAGGAGACCATTACATAATGATTAAGTGGTCAATTCAGCAAAAGGATATAACAATTGTAAATCTCTATGCACCCAACACTGGTGCACCCACATATATAAAGCAAATATTATTAGAGCTAAAGAGAGAGATAGGCCACAATACAATAATAGCTGGAGACTTCAACACCTCACTTTCAGCACTGGACAGATCATTCAGACAGAATATCAACAAAGAAATATCAGATTTAATCTGTACTACAGACCAAATGGATCTAATAGATATGAACATTTCGCAGATATATTAAATGTATATTCTGCAGGTGTTCTGTAAATACCTATTAATATTTCTCCTCAGCACATGAATCATTCTCAAGGATTGACCATATGTTGTCACAAAATAAGTCTGAAAATATTCAAAAGAATTGAAAAATTATTCAATTTCAAGCATCTTCTCTGACTACAATGGAATAAAGCCAGAAGTCAGTAATGGGGAATTTAGGAAACTATACATGAAAATTAAATAATATGTTCTTAAATGATCAGTGGTCAATGGTAAATGAATGGTCAATGAAGAAATTAAGAGGGAAATTGAAAAAAAAATCTTGAAACAAATGGTAATGGAAACACAGCATACCAAAACCTATGGGATAGAGCAAAAGCAGTACTAAGAGAGAAATTTATAGCTAAAAGTGCCTACATCAAAAAAGAAGAAAAACTTCAAATAAATAACCTAATGATGTATCTTAAAGAACTAGGGAAGGAAGAGCAAACCATGCCCATAATTAGTAGAAGAAAATAATAATAAAGATCAGAGCAGAAGCAAAAGAATTTAAAATGAAGAAAATACAAAAGATGAAATGAAAGAAAAAGTTGCTTTTCTGAAAAGACATATAAAATTGGCAAACCTTTAAGCCAGACTAACTAAGAAAGAGACAAGATTCAAATAAATAAAACCAGAGATTTAAAAAGAGACATTACAACTGATACCGCAGAAATTCAAAGGGATTATTAGCAGCTACCATGAGCAACTGCATGCCAACAAACTGGAAAATCCAGAGGAAATGTATAAATTCCTAGACACATACACCTATCAAGTTTGAACCATGAAGAAATCCAAAACCTGAACAGATAAATAACAAGTAATGAGACTGAAGCCATAACAGAATTCTCCCAGTAAAGAAAAGCTCAAGACCCAATGGCTTCACTGCTGAATTCTACCAAATATTTAGAGAATTAATACCAATCCTACTCAAACTATTCCCAAAAATAGAGGAGGAAGGAATACTTCAAAACTCATTGTACAAGGTCAGTATTACCCTGATACCAAAGCTAGACAAAGACACATCAAAAAAAGAAAACCACAGGCCAATATCTCTGATAAATACTGATACAAAAACCCTCAACAAAATACTAGGAAACGGAATTCAACAATACATTAAAAAGATCAGCCGGGTGCAGTGGCTCATGCCTGTAATCCTAGCACTTTGGGAGGCCAAGGCGGGGGATCACGAGGTCAGGAGTTCGAGGCCAGCCTGGCCAGCATGGTGAAACCCCATCTCTACTAAAAATACAAAAAAATGGCCAGGCATGGTGGCGCACACCTGTAGTCACAGTTACTCAGGAGGCTGAGGCAGAAGACTTACCTGAACCCGGCAGGCAGAGGTTGCAGTGGGCCAAGATTGTGCCACCACACTCCAGCCTGGGTGACAGAAAGAGACTCCATCTCAAAAATAAAAATAAAAAATCATTCATGGATGAACATGGGGTCTCATGCCTACAATCCTAGTACTTTGGGAGGCTGAGGCGGGAAGACTGCTTGAGCCCAGGAGATTGAGACCAGCCTAGGCAATATAGCAAGACTTTGTCTCTACAAAAAAAATTTTTAAATTAGCCAGGCATGGTTGTCCATCCCTGTAGTCCCAGCTACTTGGGAGGCTGAGTTGGGAGGACCATTTGAGCCTGGGGATGTCGAGGTGGCAGTGAGCCATGATCATGTCACTGCACTCCAGTCTGGGTGATAGAGACTGTCTCAAAAAGATCATTCATCATGACCAAATGGGATTAATCCCAGGGATTCAACGATGGTTCAACATACACAAATCAATCAATGTGATACATCATGTGAACAGAATGAAGAACAAAAATTGTATGATCATTTCAATTAAGTAACTCTCAAAATGTAAGCATATAAAAGCAAACATTACTGTAAGACAAGAATAGATATTTCAAAGAAGAGGATATGCAGATAGAAAATTAGCACATGAAGAGCCGTACATCATTTCGAAAGGCCAATGCATATTAAACCCTCAATTAAATATTACCATATACCTATCAGAATGGCTAAGTGGTGGGCAGATCATGAGGTCAGGAGATCGAGACCATCCTCACTAGTGAAACCCTGTCTCTACTCAAAAAATACAAAAAAATTAGCCAGGCATGGTGGCACATGCCTATAGTCCCAGCTACTCGGGAGGCTGAGGCAGGAGAATAGCTTGAACCCAGAAGACAGAGGTTGCAGTGAGCCAAGATTGTACCACTGCACTCCAGCCTGGGTGACAGAGCGAGACTCCATCTCAAAAAAAAAAAGCAAACATACCAAATGCTGGTAAGAATGCAGAGAAACTGAATCACTCATACACTGCTGATGGGAATGTAAAATGGCACAGCCACTCTGGAAATAGTGACAGTTTCTTATTACACTATACATGCAATTACTATACCACCCAGCAGTTAATTGTACTCGGGCATTTATCACAGAAAAATGAAAAACATTATGTTCACACAAAAACCTGTACTCTGGTTCTCATACCTGCTTTACTTGTAATAACCAAAAACAACAATCTAGATGTCCTTCAGTGGGTGACAAGCCATGATAAATCCATACCATGAAATAGTACTCAGCAATAAAAAGGAAGGAATTTCTAATATACACAAAAACTTGTATGAATCTCCAGGGAATTATGCTATGTGGAAAAATGCAATCTCAAAAGGTTAAATGGTATATCAGTCCATTTATCAAACCAATGGTGTATCAGTCCATTCTTACAATGACAAAATTATAAAAAGGGAGAATATACTAGTAGTTGTATGGGATAAAGATGAGGCCAGGGAGGGAATGACATGAAGGAGTAGATATGGTTATAAAAAGTCAGTAAGAGAGTTCCTGGAAGTCATGGGACAGTTCTGTATCATGACTAGATACAGTTAGGTTTATTTATGACTGAACGCAGATGTCATAAAATTCCAGACAACTGGATACACACTCTCTCTCTCTCTCTCTCTCTCTCACACACACACACACACACACACACACACACGTACTCACACACATACAAATGAATACATGAAAAGCTGAGGACATCTGAATAGATCTGGTGATTGTATCAATGTCAAAACCCTAGTTGTGATATTTTACTATATTTTTGTAAAACAGTACTATTGGGGGAAACTGGGTAAAGGTACACAAGATCTCTCTGTATTCTTTCAATCCAGATTAAAGAGTGCTACTTGTAACACATATCATTTCAAACTCACCAAAATTGGGAGTGAGGCAGGCAGATGCTGAAGCATCATCTTGGTCACAGCTATTTTGCATTACAGTTGAGTAACTCATTGTCCCAGAATTCATTTGTGGGCCAGATTCTGTTTTGAACAACATTTCAATATGTAAAACATTTTCTAGTGCTGAAAGACAAGAAATCTCAACCATGTTTTTTATATCAGGAGAAACTATCCTTCGGGAATAAAAGAAAAACAAAGACATTCTTAGACAAAGAAAAACTTTAAAAAGTGGTCACTGGCTGACTTACCCTTAAAGAACAACTAAAGGAAGATCTTCAAACTGAAAGGATATGATTAAGGAAGGAATCTTGCAGCATCAGGAAGGAAGAAAGAACAACACAAAGAGCAGAAATATGGGCATGGAGAAACTAGGTCACTCACACGTTGCTGGTGGGGGTAGAAAATTGTACACTCTGGAAAACAACTTGGCAGTATTTTATAAAACTAAACATACCATTACCATAGGACCCAGCAACTGCACTCTTGGGCAGTATCTCAGAGAAATGAAAACTTGTGTTCACACAAAACCTATATGGTGTATGAGTGTTTATAGCAGCTTTACTTCTAATAGCCAAAACCAGGAAACAACCTAGATGTCTTTCAATACCTGAAAAGATAAACAAACCACAGTACATCTACACCATGGAATAGTACTCAGCAACAAAAAAGAAGGAACCATTTGGGGGCTTGCCTGTGGTAGAGGATACATGAACCTAATTAGACATATGATAAAAACTGAACTAAAACACATACATACACATGCACATAAATAAATACAAGTAAAACTGGGGACAGCTCAATAATATCTGCAGAAGGTATCACGTCAACATCCTGTTTGTGATAATTTCTTATAGTTTTGCAAGATGTTACTTTTGGGGAAAAGTGGTAATGGAAACACAGATTTCTCTGTATTATTTATTATAACTGCATGTGTAGCTAAATTTTTCTGAAAATAAAAACTTTAATTAGAAAAAGGTACCAATATCTTGCACTATGGATGCCAATCAATCTAGATTAAATAGTGCTGCATATAGCAAGTATCATTTCAAACTCACCGAAATTGCAAGGGACGCTGTGAAATAATGAGGAAACATTCTGGCGACTGTTGTTTTCTAATAAAGGTCGGTAATTTGTTTTCACAGACCTCTTTACTGAGCTGGTTCGTGCTTTTCCCAATGTTTCTATAAATAAAATATTTCAAATATTGAAAGACAATACATTTCGATCATGAATTCTACATCAGGCAAAAGTGTCCTTCAAATATAGAGAAGATAAAGACATTCTCACATGAGGGAAAACTAAAGTGTTTGTCACTAGCTGACATACACTTAAAGAATGGCTAAAGGAAAATCTTCAAACAGAAAAGAATGATGAAAAAGCAAATCTTGGAGCATCAAAAAGGAAGAAAAAACAATGAAAGCAAGGGAAATATGCATGCGGAGAAACCGGATCATTCATACATAATTGGAGAGAACGTAAAATGATACAGTCTCTCTGGCACACCATTTGGCAGTTTCTTATAAAACTAAACATGCAATTACTACACAACCAAGCCTTTTTACTCTTGGACATTTATCCAAGAAAAATCAAAACTTATGTTTATACAAAAATCTGTACATCAGTGGCCATTGCAACTTTACTTGTAATAGTCAAAAACTAGAAACAGCCGCAATATCTTCCAATGGATGAATGAATAAGCCAACTGTGAAACATCCATACCATGGAATAGTGTCCACAATAAAAACTAAGGACCACTCATACATCCAGCCAGTCAGATGAATATTCGGGGAATTATGTACTGAGGCAGGTGTGGTTATAAAAGAGCAAGATGGGCCGGGCGTGGTGGCTCACGCCTGTAATCCCAGCACTTTAGGAGGCCAAGGCAGGTGGATCACTTGGTGCCAGGAGTTGGAGGCAAGCCTGGGCAACACGGTGAAATCCCATCTCTACAAAAACTATAAAAAAAAAAAAAAAAAAAAAAAAGAGCCAGAGTTGGGTGCAGTGGTTCATGCCTGTAATCCCAGCACTTTGGGAGGCCGAAGCAGGCAGATCACTTGAGGCCAAGAGTTCAAGACCAGCCTGGCCAACACAGTGAAACCTCGTCTCTACCAAAAAATACAAAAATTAGCTTGGCGTGGTGGCACATGCCTGTAATCCCAGGAACTTGGGAGGCTGAGGCACGAGAATCGCTTGAACCCAGGAGGTGGAGGTTGCAGTGAGCTGAGACTGCACCACTGCACTCCAGCCTGGGCGACAGATGGAGATTTTTGAGACTCTGTCTCAAAAGAAAAGAAAAGAAAAGAGAAAAGAAAAGAAAAAAGAAAGAGTAAAATGAGGCATCTTGGTAATCATGGAAATGTGTATCTTGATCATGGCAGTGGGAATCAAACCTACTCATGTGACAAAACTGGGTAGAACTAAATGCACACAAACAATTTAACACAATTAAGTGGGAGATCTCAATAAGATGTGTGGATAATATCAATGTCAATATTCTGGTTGTGATGTTCTGTTACAGTTTTGCAAGATGTTATTGTTGGGAGGAATAGGTAAAGTGGAAGGGGTATTTCTCTGCATTGTTTCTTACAACTACCTGTATATCTTAAATGACCACAAAATTAAAAGTTTAGTTTAAAAAAATCTACCGCTAGTTTTACATTAAGGACTTTGATGGATGTAGATTAAACAGTGCTACTAATAACATGTATAATTTCAAATTCACCAAACTTGGGAGGAATGGAGAGCGATAAAGAGGCGTTACCTTGGCTATGGCCCCTTCCTGATGAAGTTGGGTAATTCTCTGTCTGAGTATTGTTTTTTACGTTAGTTCCTGCTGTTTCTGGCATTTCTATAACTTTTTCAAGTACTGAAAGAAAAGAACTCTCAACTATGAATTTTATACTGGGTGAAATTGTCCTTCAGGAAAGAAGGGAAAATAAAAACATTCTCACAAAACGGAAAATTAAAGGAATTTGTCCCTCGCAGATTTACCCTTTAAAAATGGCTATAGGAAAACCTTCAAACAGAAAAGATACTACAAGAGAAGAAATCTTGGAGTATCCGGAAAGAAGAAAGAATGATGGAAAGATCAGAAATACAGATATGGAGAAACTGGATCACTCATACATTGCTGTTGGAAATAAACAATAGTACAGCCTCTCTGGGAAACTATTTGGCAGTTTCTTATAAAACTAAACATGCTAGTACCATACGACTCAGCAATTGTTCTCTTGGTATTCATGACAGAGAAATGAAAACTTATATTCACCCAAAAACCAGTACACAGTACATGAATGTTCAAAGTGGCTTTACTTGTAATATCCAAAAATTGAAAGAAAAAACCAGATGTCTTTCAATAGGTGAATGGTTTAAAAAAAAAAAAAAAACTGTTCCTATCTGTACCATGGAAAAGAAGGAACTATTCATCAATAGAAAGAAAGGAACTACTGAGAAATGAAAACTTACATTTATACAAAAATGTGTACATGAAGATTCATAGCAGCTTTACACCCAGTAGACAAAAAATAAAAATAAAATAAAAACACAAAAAACCCACCAGACGTCCCTCAGCAGGTGAATGGTTGAACAAAACATAGTATATCCAGACATGCAATACTATTCAGCAATAGGAATAAACCATTAATAGAAAAAACAACCTGGACGAGTCTCTAGGAAATTAAGCTGAGTGAAAAAAATCCAATTCCAAATATGATTCCACTTATATAACAATTGAAAGAGACAAAATTATAGCGGTAGAGAAGAGATCAGTGGAAGCCAGGTGTTAGAAATGGGTCATGAGGTGTTACGGAAGGGTGACCTGAGAGAGTTGGTGTGGTTATCAAAGGCAACACAACAGCACCTCATGCTGATGGAAATGATCTCTACCTTGACTGTGGTGGTGGGCACACAAACCTACTTGTGGAATAAAGCTGCATAGTACTAAACACACACACACACAAATAAATACAAGTAAAATGGGACATCTCTATAAGATCTGTGGCTTGTATAAATGTGAATATCCTGGGTTGTAATATTTCTGTTGTATTTTTGCTAAATGTAATTATTGGGGGAAATTAGGTAAAGGGTAGTCAGGATCTTTCCGTCTTATTTCTTATACCTGTGTATGATTTCTGAACTATCTCAATATGAAAAGTTTAATTTGTAAAAAGCTATCACTAAGAATTAATATTAAGAATGTTGATGAATCTAGATGAGAGGGCTGCTTGTGATATCCATTATTTCAAACTCACCAAAATTAGAAGTGATGGGAAGATTTGAAGACGCTGGATTTGGGACACTCATATTTCCCAATAAAGATGGGTAATACACTGTCTGAGAGTTATTTTCCATGTTGGTTTCTGTTGTTCCTGGCATTTCAATAAGTATAATTTTCTCAGCTACTGAAAAAAAAAAACAGAATGCTCAATCATAAATTCTACATGAGGCAAAACTATCCTTCTGGAAAAAAGGTAAAGACATTTCTCAAACAAAAGAAAACTAAAAGAATCTGTCCCTAGCCGACTTATCCATATGAAATCTCCAGGCCTGGTGCAGTGTCTCACGCCTACAATCCCAAAACTTTGGGAGGCAGAGACAAATGGATTGCCTGAGCCCAGAAGTTCAAGACCAGCCTGGATAACATGAGACCCCACCTCTACAAAAAAATTTAAAAAAATTAAAAATTAGCCAGGAGTGATAGCAAGTACCTGTAGTCCTAGCTGAGTCAGGAGGCTGAGGGAGCGTCACTGGAGCCCAGGAGGTGGAGGCTGCAGTGAGCCATGATCGCACCACTGCACTCCAGCCTGGATGACAGAGTGAAAAGAAAGAAAGAAAAGAAAGAGAAGAGAGGAGAGGAGAGGAGAGGAGAGGAGAGGAGAGGGAAAGGAAAGGAAGAAGAAAGAGAGAGAAAGAGCGAGAGAAAGAGTGAGAGAGAGAGGAAGGAAGGAAGGAGGGAAGGAAGGAGGGAAGGAAGGAAGGAAGGAAGGAAGGAAGGAAGGAAGGAAGGAAGGAAGGAAGGGAGGGAGGGAGGGAGGGAGGGAGGGAGGGATGGAAGGAAGGAAATGTTAAAACAGTAAGGATATGATGAAAGGAATCCTGGAGCATCAGGAAGGAAGAAAGACTAATAGAAAGACCAGAAATATAGGCCAGGCACAGTGGCTCCACCTGTAATCCCAACACTTTGGGAGGCCGAGGTGGGTGGATCCCCTGAGGTCAGGAGTTCAAGACCAGCCTAGCCAACATGGCAAAACCCCATTTCTACTAAAAATACAACAATTCGCCGGGCGTGGTGGTGAGTGCCTGTAATCCCAGCTACTTGGGAGGCTGAGGCAGGAGAATTGCTTGAACCTGGGAGGTGGAGGTTGCAGTAAGCCGAGATTACATCACTGCACTCCAGCCTGGACAACAGAGTGAGACTCTGTCTCAATTAAAAAAAAGAAAAAGAAAGAAAGGAGAAAAAAAAGAAAGGTAAGAAATGTAAATATGGAGAAACTGGATCACCCATACATGTAAAGCCGTTCTGGAAAAATGTTTGGCAGTTTCTTATAAAACTAAACATGCTAGTACCATAAGACCCAGCAATTGTGCTCTTGACATTCATGACAGAGAAATGAAAACTTATATTTATCCAAAAACCAGTACAGGAATGTTCAGAGCAGTTTAGTCCTAATACCAAAGAGTGGAGAGGGGGGAAATAATGACCTTCAATTGGTAAATGGTTAAAAACAACTACTGTATATCCAAACCATGGAAGATTATCAGCAAAAAAAGAGGAACAGCTGATACACACAACAACCTGTATAAGTCTTTGGAGAATCATACTGACTGAAAACAAAACAAAAAAAAAACCTACCTGACATAAGATTCCCTTTATATTACACTCTTAAAGTCACAAAATTATAGAAGCCAGTGTTTGTCAGGAGCTAGGGAACAGTCAATGGGGAAGAAAAGGGTGACCTGAGAGAGGTGGGGGTGGTTATCAAAGATGAGGCAGCCTGGTGGTGATGGAAATGTTCTGTCTTGACTGTGGTGGTGAGAATCAAACCTATTCATGGAAAAAAATTTGCAAAGAAAGAAATACAGATACACCCACAGATTATTATAACTAAAATTGGGGATATCTCAGTTATATCTGTGTATTTTATCAATGTCAATATCCTGTTGTGTTAATTTACTATAGTTTTGTAAGATGGTATTGTTGGGAGAAAAAAGTAAAGCATAAAGGGGATCATTTCTATTATTTCTTACAAATACATGTGAATCTAAAATTATTTTAAAATAAAAATGGCTGGGCGCAGTGGCTCACGCCTATAATCCCAGCACTTTGGGAGGCTGAGGAGGGCAGATCACCTAAGGTCAGGAGTTAGAGACCAGTCTGGCCTACATGGTGAAACCCCGCCTCTACTAAAACTACAAAAATTAGATGGGCATGGTGGCATGCCCTATAGTTCAAGCTACTTAGGAGGCTGAGGCAGGAGAATCTCTTGAACCCAGGAGGCGGAGGTTGCAGTGAGCCGAGACCACACCACTGCACTCCAGCCTGGGTGACAAAGTGAGACTCCATCTCAAAAAAATAAAAATAAAGTTTAATTTTAAAAATGAGCTGCTACAACTAGCTTGCATTAAGGATGTTAATCGATCCAGATTCAATAGTGTCACTTGTAATGCAGCATCTGAAACTCACCAAAATTAGGTGTGTAGCCGGCAGATAAAGAGGAAGAACATGGGCTGCTGCCATTTCCCAAAGAAATTGGGTAATTCATTGTCTGAGGGTTGCTTTCCAGCCTGGTTTCTGCAATTGTTGGCATACCTACAGAAAGAACATTTTTCAAGTGGTTAGGAACTCTCAACTGTGAATTTATACATAGTGAAATTCTCCTTGAGTAATGATATGGTTTGGCTGTGTCCCCACCCAAATCTCACCTTGAATTGTATCTCCCAGAATTCCCACATGCTGTGGGAGGGACCCAGGGGGAGGTAATTGAACCATGGGGGCCAGTCTTTCCCATGCTATTCTTGTGATAGTGAATAAGTTTCATGAGATCCGATGGGCTTATCAGGGGTTTCTGCTTTTGCTTCTTCCTTATTTTTCTCTTGCCACTACCATGTAAGAAGTGCCTTTCACCTCCTGCCATTATTCTGAGGCCTCCCCAGCCATGTGGAACTATAAGTCCGATCAAACCTCTTTTTGTTCTCAGTTTTGGGTATGTCTTTATCAGCAGTATGAAAACAAACTAATACGAGTAATTAACAGGCAATAAGGACATTCTCACATGAAGGAAAACTAGGATTACTTATCCCGCATAGACTTGCCCTTAAAGAAAGGCCAAAGGAAAATCTTTATGCAGAAAGGATATGATGAAAAAAATGGGTCTTTGGGCATCGGGAAGAAAGAAAGAAGAGAAAGAGCAGAAATATGCATGCAGAGAAATTGGATCACTCAGATATTACTGGTGAGGAGATAAAATGATACATCCCCGCCTTTCTGCCCATGGACTCCACTGAAGAAGATCGTTAAAGTCTCTCTTCTCCCTGCCATCATGTCTAAGTCAGAGTCTCCCAAAAAACCCCAACAACTGAGGAAGCTCTTCACTGGAGGGTTGAGCTTTGAAACAACCAATGAGAGCCTGTGAAGCCATTCTGAGCAATGGGGAACGCTCACGGACTGTGTGGTAATGAGAGATCCAAACACCAAGTGCTCCAGGAGCTTTGGGTTTGTCACATATGCCACTGTGGAGGAGGTGAATGCAGCCATGAATGCAAGGCCACACAAGGTGGATGGAGGAGTTTTGGAACCAAAGAGAGTTGTCTCAAGAGAAGATTCTCAAAGACCAGGTGCCCACTTAACTGTGAAAAAGATATTTTTTGGTGGCATTAAAGAAGACACTGAATAACATCACCCAAGAGATTATTTTGAACAGTATGGAAAAATTGAAGTGATTGAAATCATGACTTGACCGAGGCAGTGGCAAGAAAAGGGGTTTTGCCTTTGTAACCTTTGATGACCATGACTCCGTGGATAAGACTGTCATTCAGAAATACCATACTGTGAATGGCCACAACTGTGAAGTTAGGAAAGCCCTGTCAAAGCAAGAGATGGCTAGTGCTTCATCCAGCCAAAGAGGTCGAAGTGGTTCTGGAAACTTTGGTGGTGGTCGTGGAGGTGGTTTCAGTGGGAATGACAACTTTGATCGTGGAGGAAACTTCAGTGGTCATGGTGTCTTTGGTGACAGCTGTGGTGATGGTGGATATGGTAGCAGTGGGGATGGCTATAATGGATTTGGTAATGATGGAAGCAGTTTTGGAGGTGGTGGAAGCTACAATGATTTTGGCAATTACAACAGTCTTCAAATTTTGGACCCATGAAGGGAGGAAACATTGGAGGCAGAAGCTCTGGCCCCTATGGTAGTGGAGGCCAATACTTTGCCAAACCACGAAACCAAGGTGGCTATGGTGGTTCCAGTAGCAGCAGTAGCTATGGCAGTGGCAGAAGATTTTAACTAGGAAACAAAACTTAGCAGGAGAGGAGAGCCAGAGAAGTGACAGGTAAGCTACAGGTGACAACAGATTTGTGAACTGAGCCAAGCACAGTGGTGGCAGGGCCTAGCTGCTATGAAGAAGACATGTTTTAGACAAATACTCACATGTATGGGCAAAAATTCAAGGGCTGTATTTGTGACTAATTGTATAACAGGTTATTTTAGTTTCTGTTCTGTGGAAAGTATAAAACATTCCAACAAAGAGTTTTAATGTAGATTTTATTTTCTTGCATCCATGCTGTTGATTGCTAAGTGTAATAGTCTGATCATTACACTGAATAAATGTCTTTTAAAAAAAAGATACAGCCCCTCTGAAAAAAAGTTTAGCATTTTCTTATAAAACTAAATATGAAGTACCATATAACCCAAAATTGCATGCAAACTTGTTTACACAAAAACCAGTACATAAATGTTCGTAGAGCTTTACTTGTATTGACCAAAAATAGAAAACACCCCTGATGTCATTCAATGAATAAACAGATAAACAGTTATACATCACTACTATGGAATAGTACTCAACAATAAAAATGGAGGAACTATTGATGCATACAACAATTGGTATGAATCTCGAGAAAATTATGTTTAGTGAAAAAAAAAGCCATGCTCAAAAGGTTACACAGCATTTAGTTGCATTTAAGTAACAACATTCAAATAATGAAATTCTGGCAAGCAAAGTGAGATTGCTGACTATCAGTAGTTAAGATAGGGCAAGATGAGAGAGAAGGGAGATCAGGGGAGGTGGCTGTGGTTATAAAAGAACAATATAAAGGATCCTTGTAGTGATGATGGAAATGTTCTGTATTGTAACTAATAGTGGACATGTAAATTGACTCATGATTAAATTTCATAGAACTAAATACACACACACTGATGTAGATTTAATCAATGCCAATACCCTGGTTGCAGGATATAGTTCCTTAAGATGTTATCATTGAGGAAAATGGGTAAAGTACACATGGGATCTCTGTACAGTTTCTTACAACCACATGTTAATTCAAAATTATCTCAAAATAAAAAGGCTAGTTTTTTGGGTTTTTTTTTTTTTAAGAGTTATCACTGACTTGCATTCAGGATGTTGATGGAAAATAAACTCTCAGCCACAAATTCTATGCCCAGCAAAACTATCCTTAAAGAATGTTAGGAAAATAAAGACATTTTCAAATGCAGGAAAACTAAAGAAACCTGAAAGAAAGGCTGAAGAAAAGTATTCAAACAGAAAGGAATTGATGAAAAAAGAAAATATAGAGCATCCAGAAGGAAGAACAACAGAAATAACAGAAATATGAATGCGGAGAAACTGGATCACTCACGCATTGCTGGTGGAAATGGAAGATAATACAGACTCTCTGGAAAACTATTTGACAGTTTCTTATAAAACTAAACATGCTAGTACCATAAGGCTCAGCAATTACACTCATGGCATTCATGACAGAGAAATGAAAATTTATATTTACAGAAAAACCTGTTCATGACTGTTCATAGCGGCTTCACTCCTAATATCCAAAAACTGGAAAAAAACAATTTGATGCCTTTTCAATGGGTGAATGGCTAAACAAACTGTGGCATAGCCATACTATGAAATATAAATCAAAAATAAAAAGGAGGGTAGGCTGGGCATGGTGGCTCACGCCTGTAATCTCAGCACTTTGGGAGGCCACGGCAGGCAGACAACTTGAGGTCAGGAGTCTGAGACCAGCCTGGCCAACATGGTGAAATCCTGTCTCTACCAAAACTACAAAAATTAGCTGGGCATGGTGGCACACACTTGTAATCCCAGCTATTCAGCAGGCTGAGGCATGAGAATTGCTTGAATCCAGGAGGCAGAAGTTGCAGTAAGCCAAGATCGCACCACTGCACTCCAGCCTGGGCAACAGAGGAGACTATGTCTTAAAAAAAAAAAAAAAAAAAAAAAAAAAAAGGAGGAAACTCCTGATACATGCAACAAGCTGGGTGAGTTTTCAGAGAACCATACTGAGTGAAAAACACCAATCCCCCAAAATTACATACTATAACATTCCCTTAATGTAACATTCTTGAAGTGACAAAATTATAAACAGAGAACAGATCAGTAGTTACCAGGTGTTAGGGATGGGGCAGGTTGAAAGGAAGGGATGACATGAGGAAAGTGAATGTGATTATCAAAGGGCAAGACGAGGCATCTTTGCAGTGATAGAAACGTTCTATGTCTTTGCCGGAGGTAGACATTAAAACTACCTGTGATAAAACTGCAAAGAACTAAACAGACAGACACAAATTAATTACAAGTAAACCTGGGGATATCTTAGTAAGATGTGTGGAGTGTATCAATGTCAATACCTTGGATGTGATATTTTACTATAGTTTTAAAGATGTTATCCTTTGGGGGAAATGGCTAAATCATAAACAGGTCTCTGCATTATTTCTTACAACTGTGTGTGAATCTAAAATTATCTCAAACTAAAAAGTTTAATTTGAAAAGAGTCACACTAGCTGACATTAAAAATACTGGTGAATCAGGCTGGGCGCAGTGGCTCACGCCTGTAATCCCAGCACTTTGGAAGGTAGAGGCGGGCAGATCACCTGAGGTTGAGAGTTGGAGACCAACCTGACTAACATGGAGAAACCTCGTCTCTACAAAAAATACAAAAAAACTAGCCAGGCGTGGTGGTGCATGCCTGTAATCCCAGCTACTCGGGAGGCTGAGGTAGGAGAATCACTTGAACCTGGGAGGCGGAGGTTGCAGTGAGCCAAGATCGTGCTATTGTACTCCAGCCTGGGCAACAAGAGCAAATCTCCATCTCAAAAAAAAAAAAAAAAAAAAACAACTAGCTGGCAAATCAAGATTAAATAACGCTATCTGCATATTTCTTATTTATTTATTTATTTATTTATTTATTTTAGACGGAGTTTCGCTCTTGTTGCCCAGGCTGGAGTTAAGTGGCACAATCTCAGCTCACTGCAATCTCCACCTCCAAGTTCAAGTGATTCTCCTGCCTCGGCCTCCTGAGTAGCTGGGATTACAGGTGCCCACCACCACGCCCAGCTAATTTTTTGTATTTTTAGTAGAGACGGGGTTTCACCATGTTGGTCAGGCTGGTCTCAAACTTCTGACGTCAGGTGATCCACCCGCCTCAGTCTCCCAAAGTGCTGGGATTACAGGCGTGAGCCACCATGCTCAGCATTATGTATCATGTCAAACTCACCAAAATAGGGAGGGATGAAGACAGATAAAGAGGCAGTATTTTGGCCACTGTAATTTCCCATTAAAGTTGGGTAATTCACTGTCTCAGTGCTGTTTTTACTGCTGTTTGCTGGTCTTTCTGGCATTTCTATAAATAAAAAGTTTTCAAGAGCTGTAATACAGGAACTTTACTCACAAATTCTATACCAAGCAAAATTATCCTTCAAGAAAGAAAGGGAAACAGACATTCACACACAAAGGAAAACAAAAAGAATTTGTCCCCAACAGATTTACCCTTAAAGAAAGATTAAAGAAAACTCTTCAATCAAAAGAAAAGAAAATGATGAAAGAATGAATCTTGGAGCATCAGGAAGAAAGAACAAAAGAAAGAGGAGAAATATGCATTCAGAGAAAATAGATCACCCATATATAGCTGGCAGGAATGTCAGATGGTACAGCCCCCCTGTAGGCAGTTTCTCATAAAACTAAACATGCATGTCCAAACTCATCACACTGGGTATAATAAATATGTGCAGTTTTTTACTTATTAATTACTACGGTTTGAAGGTATCTTTTCCAAAATTCAGGTGTTGCCACTGTGATCATATTAAGAAATGGGACCTTTAAGAGATGATTAAGCTATGAGGGCTCCTCCCTCATGAATGGGATGGAGGACCTTATAAAAGAGGCTTCACACAGCATTTTGAAATCTTACCCTTCTACCTTCTGCCATGTGAGGACACAGTGCTCCTCTCTTGCAGAGGATGCAGCCCTCACCAGACAGACGAACTGGCTGGCACCTTGCTCTTGAACTTCCCAGCCTCCGGAGCTGTGAGAAATTACATTTCTGTTCTTTTTCAATCACCCTGTCTATGGTATTTTGTTACAGCAACACAAACAGACCAAGACATTAATATATCAATAAAGATTTGTTTTTTAAAAAAACCTAAACATGCAATTAATATATAACCAGCAGTTGTACTCTTGGGTAATCATGTTAGAGAAATGAAAACTTCCATTTACACAAAAATTTGTATATGAATTTTCATAGCAGCCTTACTCCTAATAGTCAAAAACTGAAAAAATAGTTTCCTTCAATAGATGAATGGTTAAACCATGGTACACCTATACCATGGAATAGTACTTGGCAATAAAGGAACTACTGAAACACACAACTTGGTTGAGTCTCCAGGGGATTATGTTGAGTGAAAAAAAAAAACAATACCAAAAGGTTACATACTATATGCATTCAATTAAGTGATAAAATTATAGAGATGGAGAAGAGATCACACTTGCCAAGGGTTAGGAATAGACAAGTGGGGAAAGGAAAAGGAGGATGGGTTTGGTTATAGAAGGGCAATACAAGCATACTTTCTGGTGATAGAACCGTTCTGTATCTTGACTATGATAGGAACATACAAACTTTCTCAAGTGATAAAATTGTTTTTAAAAAAGCCGAAAGTCAGACACACAAATGAATACAAACTGCAGCCTTATGAGATGTTACCACTGGGGAAAATTGCGGAAAGGGTATCTCTCTGTATTATTTCTTACAACTACATATGAATTTATTATGATTTCTTTTTTTTTTTTTTTGAGACGGAGTCTCGCTGTGTCTCCCAGGCTGGAGTGCAGTGGCGTGATCTCGGCTCACTGCAAGCTCCGCCTCCCGGGTTCACGCCATTCTCCCGCCTCAGCCTCCCAAGTAGCTGAGACTACAGGCGCCCGCCACCACGCCCGGCTAGTTTTTTGTATTTTTAGTAGAGACGGGGTTTCACCATGTTAGCCAGGATAGTCTCGATCTCCTGACCTCGTGATCCACCCACCTCGGCCTCCCAAAGTGCTGGGATTACAGGCTTGAGCCACCGCGCCCGGCCTATTATGATTTCAAGATAAAACTTTTAATTTAAAAAACAGCTAACACTAATTTGCATGAAGGGTGTTTTAAAATCTAGATTGAAGAATGCTATCTGTAATATGTGTCATTTCAAACTCACCCAAATTGGGATGGATGCAGAAAGATGACAAGGCTCTACCTGGGCCCACATCTTCATTTTCCAGTAGAGCAGAGTAATTCACCACACCAGGGTTACTTGCCAGACTGGGTTCTCCTCGTGACAGACCTGCCATAGGTACTGCTGTAGTAGCATCGGCAAATGAGATGACAGCATGGGTACTTTCAGCACCTCCACTGATAAAGTTACATGGCATACCGAAACAAGGAAATGAGCCACCTTGTGCGACATACGGCTGTAATGAACGTGAGGAGACAATTCTGGGATATGATGAACTCTCACTGAGGTCTCCTTCCTGCAGTTCAGGACATGCTGCTGACTCAAGAGATGCTACAGCAGGGCTGGCCCAGGCATGGGTTTCCTGCCTTTCTGCTGGTGGTGGTGTGCTAGACTGTACCTATCCCGGGTAAGAGAACAGAATGAGTCAAGTTATTTTCTTCGGTTCCTAGACTTCAATTTTTCCATGAGACATACAATCAAAACTTTTTTGTGTAAATCCAGACGACCTCTAAAATGACACCAACCCAGTATAAATCAACTGTAACTTAAAATGAGGCTTAAAAAGTTGATTTTAAAAAAACATTCCTATGTATTTTCCTTGCAACATCATTTTCCATTGTTAAGGATAAATGCTGTACTTTGATTATATGATTTTTATTCTTCTTCAACCCTGCGTTTTATACATGATAATTACTAACATAAAAATACTAAGTGTTGTAATCTGTCAGACCTAAACTTCAGCATTCTTCCAAGGGAATTTTAGTCCCCCATCTGCTATTAAAGTAAGTAGAGAAAAGCCTTGCTAATCTCAGAGTTACTAGTTATCTATCAGTTCTAACTGATTGGTGTCTTTAGGAGCTAGAGGTTTATCAAAGTTGTAAAAATGTTTTTGTAACACACATTTTATCAAAGGTGGTTGCTCCCAAGAACACTGCACTTCTGAAACAGCTCCACAAAGATGGTCAACTTGCATAGTGGTATTTTCAATAAGATCTTCTACATTCTATTATACTTAAAAAATAGTAGTTCATATTTCAAAAGAAAAATAACATGTGAAAACGCCATTAAGTCAAATGTTAACTGCTAGACACAACAAAAGTTCTCAAGCCATCAGAAATGTCTTGCTCCTATTTGAGGCCTGGCTGTAGGTGACACAAAGCCAGCAGGCTGAGCTCAGGAGCCCGAACATCCCCTCTGCTGCTCTACCCCGTGCAGGCACTAAGGATGCTCTAATGCCAGCAAATGAAAGTGCCGCTATGCCTCTACACCAGCACATTTATGATGAAGACACTGCACATCAAGGAAGGTGCTATTTTACGAAAGAAATCCTCAAATCTGCTAAAAGGCCAAAGACTCACTTTATAATGTTCATATGTAACATATATGTTCATCTATGTACAAATATGAGGTCTATATTATATACAGAGAGTGAGTGTTCCACTCCAGAAAGAACAGTAAGCCAAATATAACAGATGTGACTTTTGGCTTCAAACATTTTAAAATCATGCAGTCAACAACTAATCTTACAAAACCATTGAGTACACATCCCCTACGTGCCAATCAAGCATATATGACTGATAAAAATCTGAGAATTCCTCTTGAAATACACAGAAACTTTGGGCAAAAAAAAAAAAAATACACTTAAACAAAGGGCCAGAAACATTTCCTCATTCATTCATTCAACTAAACCTTTATTGACGGCCTACCATCTGGCAGAACTACTTTGCTATGTGTTGGAAACATGGACTGAAAGAAAGCTCCTAACCGGGCACGGTGGCTCATGCCTGTAATCCCAGCACTTTGGGAGGCCGAGACAGGCGGATCACTTGAGCTCAGAAGTTCGAGACCAGCCTGAGCAATATGGCAGAACTCCATCTCTAACAAAAACAACAACAACAACAACAACAACAACAACAGAACCTCCGTTTCTGGAAAAAAAAAAAAAATACAAAAAAGTAGCCAGGCATGGTGGCATGCACCTGTAGTCCCAGATACTTGGGAGCCTGAGGTGGGAGAATCACCTGAGCCTGGGAAGTTGAGGATACAGTGAGCCACGATTGCACCACTGCACTCCTGCCTGGGCAACGGAATGAGACCCTGTCAAAAAAAGCTCCTGTCCTAGAGGAACTGCCATCTCAGCTGGGAGAGAGACAAGTAAAGAGAGGATTCCAATAGACAAAGTGATTAGCAGCCTGGAACAGTGGTTTGCAAAGTGGTCCACAGACCAGTAGCATCAACATCACCTGAAGCTCATTAGAAATGCCAAATTTCAGGTTGTACCCCAGACCTCTGGAGTCAGAAACTCTGAGAGTGGCAACCGTGGTCTATGTTTTCACAAGCCCCCAGGTGATTCTGATGCTCCCAGTAAGAACCACTGGGCTATGGCAATGAGGTAAATAGTGCAGGCTCTAGGGGAACATGGTTGGGGTCAAATACTAGAGTCCAGCCACTTATTGGCTGTGTGACCCTGGGCAAGTTACTTAAACTCTCTGTGCTTCAATGTCCTCATGTAGGGAATCGGAATGAAAATCTCTCTCAGGGTTCTCTTGAGGACAAGAACCTTGCTATAGTATTAGGTTAATATTAACAGTAACAACACTACACTATGCCCGGTCCAACAGTGCTCAGTGGTCTCTTCCTGTTACTATTGTTATTACCAGCACCACGACACAGACAGGAACAGGAGGCTAAGCATGCACAGAAGAGTGGGCCTAACCCAGGCTGGCAGTCATGGAGAGCTTTTCAGAGGAGGTGAGGTCTGAAGTGAGAATTAAAACATGAGAAGGTGCTTGCCAGGTGAGGATGCATGGAAGGGTTTACAGGGTAGAAGAAACAGTAGGTTCAAAAATACCCAGAGAGAAAAACAGGAAGCCAGATGTGAAGACAGCGAGTATGAATGACATTCCAGGAGCGGGGCTGTCATGGGAAGGAGAGAGTGAGGATGACAGCAAAGAAGGGATGGGAGGCAAGAGAAGTGGCTTCTCCAAGCTGTGGGAGAACTTGTAGAGGGGAAGGAGGGACAGGGGCTAGAGCCAGAGGAGAGAGAGAGGGACGCCCGATGGGGGGCAGCTCTGAGTTCGGGGAGGGGACTAGATGCAGAAAGCAGCAAGGATGTCAGCCCTGGTCACTAGAATGGTCGGGAAGGGGTCAGAAGAAGGGCAGGGATGGGGGCAGTTGGTTGGCTGTGGGGACAGATATGAGGAGTTGGAGGAGAGGACTGCCCCAGGCACTCCACTGTCTCCAGGAGTGAAGAGGCAGGACTAGGGGGCTGAGATAGGCTGGGGACTGCCAACAGAGGGGGTCCTCCTCTGCTCCCAGCTAAGCAGGACGGAGGTGGACTCAAGAGGGAACTGGGATGAAAGAACAAGGCATGCTGCAGCGCCACCCCTATGATCTAGAACGGGCAGGGGAGGAAAGAGCCAACTCCTTAGGAGCAATGGAGAGGAGCCATTGGGGCCATTTCAGGCTGACTGTGGCCCTAGGCACCTCCTCCCACAGATACTGCCTCCCACCCCAGTGTGCAGGCTTGCCGAGGGGGACCCTGGTCTAGCAGTGCAGGGGAGGCAGGCTAGGGAGAACCTGCTCCCTACCTTCTCAGCTCGCCTCTGTACCCACTTCCCCCCAAGACTGCATGTGTCCCTTGGAAGCCCTCCACTTCTGTTCTCCCCCATGATCATGATAAATGCCCAATTTCACTTCCCAAAATATTTTAGCTCATTCCATTCAAGAAACATTATACACGGTAAGAAACATTTTTTTTTTCTAATAAACCTTCATTACCTCTGGCTTATAACACAAAATCCCCGGTAATCACATATTTACCAACATGGTGATTCTTATAAGGAAAAGAAGGAAACGAAATGCTTCAGAGCTCATTGTCTAATGAAAAGAAGCATACAGATTCAGGAGAGAGAGATATTTCCTTAAGCCTGAGTTCAGAGTAATTCTACAGTGTATACGCAGACTGAAAAAGAATCCAAATTGCTTTCTTGGAATATATTTGGCAATGAGGATTTAATATAATATAAAGATTCAAAGTCTGGTATACACTCATTAATGATACTTCCACCTTCTTCACAATCAAGTATTTATGTTACTGTCTAAGGAAAGTTTATTAATAAACCAAAAGGAAATATGAAAGAAAGAAAAGTTCAGGACTTCTATTTCATTTTCAAGAAGCACCTAAGGCCTATTTGTGATATCAAAGGACCTTTGCCGATTGCAAATCCTATAACTACAGGAAAAGATATATTTGCAGAATTGTGTTCTCTTTAACCCAGCTACACTTAAGACACCATTTTCATCAAGCTTAACCGTTTATATACTTTGTGGTAGATAAACGAGTTTTCTAGCACCAGAACTGCTTTAAAAGCAAGTGTTTCTAACCATGAACAAAGAACCAAATGTTAAATGGCTTTTGATTTTCAAATAAACCAACAGTGACACTCTGTGGACAAGACAGGAAACACTTAACCACCTATATTTCTTGATAAATTAATCTGTAAATCATCTTAAAATATTTTTTGGAGTAAGGCAGGGTATAAATAAGTAACCAAACAGTAAATAACCATTATATTTCTGAAAAATTATTCTAAGGATGAATTGTGGGCCATAAAAATAATTTTAACATAAACATACCAAGTAGTTATCTACTTCTTTGTTTCAAAATACATAATAAAAAATTAACTGAATTAGCCCAGCATTACAAACTTATTAGACAGCCAAAATTATATCAAATTATAATAGATATTAATAATTGTAAACACAATATTACCATCTTACCCTTGTATAGTGCTTCATGCTTTCCAAAGTGCTTTCAGATAATTATGTACAAAACCATGACACTGGGCAGATAATTAGCATTATCCCCAAAAATGAAAACATTGAGGCTGACAGAAGTTAAGAATTGCCTACACTACTTACGTGGCACTGATATCCACATCCTTATGTAGGTAAACAAATACATTTTCTGTTAAGCTAAATTATATATAGTTTAATAATCTATTTTATTCAACTTCAGAGATCAAAAAGCACAGGAGAATATAGTGGTAATGTAAAACAGTACGACCACTTAGAAAAACTGGCAATTTCTCATAAACTTTCAATTACCCCATTACCTAATACTTCCACTCCCAGGTATTTACCCAAATTAAATGTAAACATAGGTTCACAAAGAGACTGCCATAAGCGTGTTCATAGTCACTTTATTCCTAATAGCCCAAAATTGCAAACAACCCAAATGTCCATCAAAAGAATGGATAGGCCGGGTGCGGTGGCTCATGCCTGTAGTCCCAGGGCTTTGGGAAGCTGAGGCAGGCAGATCACCTGAGGTCAGGAGTTTAACACCAGCCTGGCCAACATGGTGAAACACCGTCTCTACTAAAAATACAAAAATTAGCCAAATGTGGTGGTGGGCGCCTGTAATTCCAACTAGTCAGGAAGCTGAGGTAGGAGAATCGCTTGAACCCGGGAGGTGGAGGTTGCAGTGAGCCGAGATGGTGTCACTGCACTCCAGCCTGGATGACATAGCAAGACTCCGTCTCAGAGGGAAAAAAAAAAATGGGTAAGCAGATTATGAGCATTCATATGACAGAATACCACTCAGCAATGAACAGGAATGTAATATTAATACTATGAAACAAATCTCCAAAACATTATTCTAAGGAAAAAAGACTATGACCCAAAACAGTACATACCGTACAATTCTATTTATGTGAAGTTCTAGAACAGGCAAAACTCATCTAGGATGGAAAAAAACATCAAAATGTATTTCCCCCAAAGTTAAGGAAGATGGGGACTTACTGGGAAGAGGTCCCAGGTCACTTTCTAGGGTGATGAAAATGTTCATTACCATCTTTTTTTTTTTTTTTTTTTTTTTTTTTTTTTTTGAGACAGTATTGTTCTGTCACCCAGGCTGGAGTGCAGTGGCACAATCTCGGCTCAATGCAACCTCCGCCTCCCAGGTTCAAGCGATTCTCCTGCCTCAGCCTCCCGAGTAGCTAGGATTTCAGGCATGCACCACCACGCTCAGCTAGTTTTTTTGTATTTTTAGTAGAGATGGGGTTTCACCATGTTGACCAGGCTGGTCTCAAACTTCTGACCTCAGGTGATCTATCTGCCTTGGCCTCCCAAAGTGCTGGGATTACAGGCGTGAGCCACCACACCCGGCCAAAATGTTTATTATCTTCATGGGGTGTAAGTATACACATTTTTCAAAACTCACTGATTTGTGCATTTGACTGCATGAAATTCAACTCCATTTCTTAAAAAGAAATACAGCAGAATGAAAAGAACAAAGAGAGATTTTCACTTTAATAAACAAACCATAATATCTACCTCTGGAGTAGATAATCTTCCTCTTTTTGGCAAATCCACTTCCTCTGAGTTGTAACTGTATCTTCTTAAATGTACTGGGCATTTGATCTGTGAAATGGTTTGGTCACCATGGGCTACTGCGAAGCAATGCATAAAAAAGTTATTTCATACACTACTCTCTTTTTTTTTTTTTTTTTTTTTTTTTTTTTTGAGACGGAGTCTGGCTCTGTCGCCCGGGCTGGAGTGCAGTGGCCGGATCTCAGCTCACTGCAAGCTCCGCCCCCCGGGTTTACGCCATTCTCCTGCCTCAGCCTCCCGAGTAGCTGGGACTACAGGCGCCCGCCGCCTCGCCCGGCTAGTTTTTTTTTTGTTTTTTTTTTTGTATTTTTTTTTTAGTAGAGACGGGGTTTCACCGTGTTCGCCAGGATGGTCTCGATCTCCTGACCTCGTGATCCGCCCGTCTCGGCCTCCCAAAGTGCTGGGATTACAGGCTTGAGCCACCGCGCCCGGCCTTCATACACTACTCTCTTAACAACCTTAATACGGATATGTTCTCAGAATGCTAACTCAAATTGAATTGGACTTTGGGTTGAATTTTAGAGTGACAAAACAAGAATTCTTCCATAATCAATTTAGAGTAACTCTTTTAAAACTGAAGGGCTATATTACCCATGACTAGGAATAAGAATCAAATCAAATGCAATTGCAAACTGTGAAGTGACTGCTTAGTAACTTAAAGCCTACACAGTAAATGCTGGAAACAAATGAACAAGAGAATGCAAGGGCTAACTGCTTTTGTAAAGGAGCCCCAAAAGGCCCTTGACTAAGGAGACGGCATTGTGTCCAAAATGTAAGCCAGGAATCTATTCTAGATCGGACCCCCACCACTATGTGGGCTGGGCAGACCACTAGAGACACCACCTCCTCATCTGCCAGGTTAACATCAGTTGAGATGATCTCTAAGGTTCATTTCAGCTTTCAAGTTAGGATTGCCTTATTAAAGTTTATATTAATCCTAAATAAATGGATGTGAAATGTAAGCCAAACAATCTAGAATTAGGAAGGTCTGGTTATGGCTCTGAGTCACTTAACTACGGAACTAGAAGAAGACATTGGCCGCAACAGTATTGGATTATATCTTGTACTAGAGATTTGCTTTGAAAGCCTGCATCACAGTGACTGGGAGGGACACTTTAATGAAAGAGCTACTTCACTTAAACCTTCCTGAGCCAGGGCAGTAATGAGAGGCACAATTAAGGGATTCAGGTTTCATCTCTTTCCTGTTCCCTTTCATTCTATAGTGGAGATCCTAATGACCAAGGACCCAAAAGAGAGAAATCAAAAGGGGATAAAGAAAATGGGAGAACTCTCAAGTTAGATAAACACAGACTAAAGTTATATAGAAATATCAAGTTATAAAATACCTCCAGGCTGGACCCAGTGGCTCACACCTGTAATCCCAACATTTTAGGAGGCTGAGGCAGGATGATCACTTGAGCTCAAGAGTTGGAGACCAGCCTGGGCAACATAGCAAGATATCATCTCTAATAAAAATTTTTTAAAAATTAGCTGGCATGGTGGCATGCACCTGTCATCCCAGCTACTGGGAAGGCTGAGGTGGGAGAACTGCTTGAGCCCAAGAGGTTGAAGCTGCAGTAAGCTGTGATCGTGCCACTGCACTCCAGCCTGGGTGACAGAGTGAGACCCTGTCTCAAAAAATATAATAATAATAATAAAAGATACAGTAAGATACCTCCAAATTGAGCTGTAACTTCAACCAAATTTTATTTTTTAAACTGTTTGAGTTTTTTCTGACTATAATACAAGCTATAAGTAATTAAATTCTGATGTATTCAAACAAAGGAACTACACAGCAATGAGAATAAACCAACTATTGCAGCACATAGCAAGAAGTAAAAAAAGCCAGACACAAGCCGGGTGTGGTGGCACGTGCCTATAGTTCCAGCTACACAGGAGCTGAGGCAGGAGGATCAATTGAGCCCAGGAGTTCAAGTACAGCATGGGCAACACAGCAGGACCCTGTTTCTGAAAAAAATGCCAGATATAAAAGAGAGTATAGCATATGATTCAATTGGTATAAAACTCAAAAACAGAAAAAAGTAATCAATGGTAGGAGAAGTCAGGATAGTGGTTACCTTACAAAGAGTAGTAGTGACTGAAAGGGGTTGGATAAGATTCTAGGGAGCTCATAACCTTATATTTCTTGGTATGGGTGCTGGTTATATGCATGTATTAGTTTGAAAATTATTTAAGCTGTATATTTATGATGTGTGCATATTTTGTATGTCATATAACTTCCATAAAAAGTTCACCTATGGCCGGGCGTGGTGGCTCATGCCTGTAATTCCAGCACTTTGGGAGGCTGAGGTGGGCGGATCGCTTGAGGCCAGGAGTTCGAGACCAGCCTGGCCACGATGTAAAATCCCCTCTCTATTAAAAATACAAAAATTAGCTGGGTGTGGTGGTGCACGTCTGTAATCCCAGCTACTCGGGAGGCTGAGGCAGAAGAGTCGCTTGAGCCCGGGAGGCAGAGATTGCAGTGAGCCGAGATCACACCACTGCACCCCAACCTGGGCAACAGAGAGAGACTCCATCTCAAAAAAAAAAAAAAAAAAAAAAAGTTCACCTAAAAAATTCAGCTCATTATAAATAACTCAGAATCTAAATAAAAAGAGAAAGCAATCCATCAGCAATAAATATTGTAACCTTTAAATACATTTATCTTACTCATATATTTTTTAAGCAATTTTGTGTGTCATTTATAATTTTAAAAATATTTTTAAATGCCTGCATAATATTCCATTTTATGGTTGTCCAGAGGTTCTGTTATCTGTTTTCCACTGTAGGACATTTATATGGCTTCTAATTTTTCACTATTTTGATATAATGATGTGTATACATTGAAAGGCAAACATTTATCATTTTAATCATTTGTAAGTATACAATTCAGTGGCATTAAATATATTCAGAGAATTGTATAATGATCATCACTATCTATACCCAAAATATTTCTATCATCTCCAACATATACTCTGTACCCATTACACTCCCCCTCACCTCAGTCCCTGGTAACCTCTATTCTACTTTCTGTCTCCATGATATCAGATGTTCTATAACACACTAAAGAAGTATCCTGCTAGCCCTGCTTATAGTTTTAAAACCAAAACAGATAAGTGATATCAAACTGCTTTTTTGGTATCAGATCAGGGAGCAAACCATAACCTGTGGACCAAATCCGCTTTGCCACCTGCTTTTGTATAGCTCATAAGCTAAGATGTTATGGAGTTTTTTTATATTTCTAAATTATGGGGGGGGGAGAATATCTCCTGAAATGGAAAAATTATAGGAAATTCAAATTTCAACGACCATAAAGTTTTATTGAAACACAGCCACAACCATCTGTTTACATATCAGCTGCTTTCATGCTATAAAGGCAGAGTTAAATACTTAAAGCAGAGACCTTATGGCCTGTGAAGCCTAAAATATTTACTATCTGGCCCCTTACAGAAAAAATGTACCAGTCTCCAACATAAGCAATAACATTTCCATGTTTTGAAGAGAAGAAAATCCAATTCTCTAAGCAAAGGGTAAAGAATAAATTGTCATATAGCTAAGGAAGAAATATTCCAAGGAATTAACGTCTCATGACTCTCTGTACAAGTGAGGATGTGGAGGGTCTCACATTTCCTAGAGAGCCATTCAAAGGACTAGTGGCTATAGCAGTTCTGGTTGCAGGACTGCACTTTCCATGGGGTCTTGGACGCTAATGTAAATTTCAAATTCCAATTGTTTATTGTTGGCATGTAGTACAGTGATTAACTTTTGTATATTAACCTGTTTCCTGCAACGTTGCTATAATCACTTATGACTTCCAGGAGATTTTTGTTGATTCTTTGAGACTTTCTACATAGATAATCATGCCACCTGCTCCATGGACTCTTGACTCAAGCTGTTATTCCTAGAAGTTCAGTTTTAGCTTTTTACTTTTGCATTGCCACCAAATTGTTATAATTATAGTTGCCAGATATAAATAATTGTTCAAAGAGAATATATTCTCCCCAACGCTTCCTGAGACTGTCTCACACAGAACAAAAGAGACATGGCAAAGGTTAAGTGAAGTGAAAACGCAAACAGAAGTAAACATTGTGGTATTACCACGAAGCTAAGCCCTCTGGTCATAACTAATTATTGTAAAGGTTAGAGGAATATTTAAGCAATTTACTGGAAATGGGGACCAGAGAGCAAAATTTTGCCAAAGAGGAAATTTAACAAAATTACCATATGACATTTGGAGTGGACGGTGATGGTCATCACTGCCGCCTGGAAAATTTGGTTGTGTGGCTGTGTCATCAGTGGGATTATCTGCTGTGTCATAAGTGGAATCATTTGCTATGTCATCAGTGGAATTATCTGCTGTTTCAGAATCTTCCACCATCTCAATACTGCACTCATTGTTATCATCACTGTCGTCAACAGTTACAATAACAAAATCTAAGAATAAGCAAAGAGAAAGATTAGATTCAATACCACATTAAATAAACAGTTTCTTGAGGAAGCTACCTTATAAAGTTATAGATTGTTTAAAAAACATATCTTAGCTGAAAATTTGTATTATGTATTTTTATATCTGTAATCATTACAAGTTAGCTAATGAACCAATAGTAGGAAGTTTTGAAGTATGTATATACATATGTATGCATATACACACATAGACTACTATCTCTAGTACTTCCAATTTCGTAGAGCAATAAATTTCTTCTCATTTAAGAAATGTGGCCAGCTGGCCCATGCCACAGTGTTCAATGATATCCTTTTAACTTAAATGATGCAACTGGTGTTAAGTAGACATACTTGTGGTGACCATGATGTTCTAAACTTGTTCTCTAAAAACTAGTATTAGTGTCTATGATGACTGATAATGCAGAAATAAAGTGCAAAAGTAAATGTTGTTATGAAATGAATTAAATCTGAATCTCACAAAATGTGAAATAGGTAACCACAAATATACCAGATGTGAAATATCAACTTGGTAAACCATTTTAATGAACACGAAAACACATTATGCAAAATGTCTAAGATCAAAATAAGCTTTATTTCTTAAAGCTGGCCTGAAAAAGAACACATTTAAGCTTGAAGTATTTACTCAGAGATCACATTTAAACTACATCATAACTTGGATTTATTCTATTTATTTCAAAAAGACTAATGCAGGAGAATAAAATAATTAGCTAGTGTGAGGGGCATGTGATGATTTGAAAATGGTACTAAATTAAGAATCACAGAATGAAGGTTCCAATTCAGGCTCTGTAATTATCCAGAGGTATGACCATTGGGCTAGGTAAATTGACTCTTTTGCCTCTGTTTTCTCACCCATAAAAAGTGGGGTTTTTTTAAGAGTCACTCTGAAGTCTACTTAATAGTCTTCATGGGAAAAAAAATATGACATTAGAAACCACTTAACCATCTAAACCAAAGTATTAAATAAACAAAAGCTTAAATAAATTATGGTATTTCCCTGAGCTGGAATGGTATATTGCCAATAAGAAGTGTGTTCTCAGGCAGGGCGCGGAAGCGAATGCCTGTAATCCCAGTACTTTGGGAGGCCAAGTGGGGCAGATCGCTTGAGCTCAGAAGTTCGAGACCAACCTGGGCAACATGGCAAAATTCCGCCTCTACCAAAAAATAATAATGATGATAATAATACAAAAATTAGCCATGCGTGGTGGCATGCGCCTGTAGTCTCAGTTACTCGGGAGGCTGAGGTGGGATGGCTTGCACCCGGGAGGCTGAGGTTGCAGTGAGCCAGGATCCCGCCACTGCACTCCAGCCTGGGCGGCAAAAGGAGACCTTGTCTCAAACAAAAAAGGAAGGAAGGAAGGAAGGAAGGAAGGAAGGAAGGAAGGAAGGAAGGAAGGAAGGAAGGAGGGAGGGAGGGAGGGAGGGAGGGAGGGAGGAAGGGGGGGAGGGGGAGGAGGAGGAGGAGGAGGCGAAGAAGCAGCAGCAGCAGCAGCAGCAGCATATTCCCAAAGAAAATGTACTAATATTAGATATGCTTGTGAAATAAAGTTAAATAAAGTTAAAGGGGAGAAAAGGATTCAAAACAGAAAAATACAGTATAATCCTAACTTTGAGAGCCAAAGGTAACATACCAATGGTTATCTAAGTGGCTATCACTGAATAGCAAATTTATTATCATTAGACCTCTCTGTCGATTCTCTACAATAAACTTTAGATTCTGTCATCAGAAGAAAATAACCAAGGCAATTGAAAGTGTATTTTTAAGACAAGCTTTTGTATATCAACAGATCTTTCAAACTAGAGCTAGTAAAGCTATTGACAATGCCACTAAGGTTTCTCAGTAAATATGTAAAAGTCCAATCAGTTCTTTTAGGTGTACACATAACTTTCCCAATTAAATTTTAAAATACATTTTAACATTTAGAAATTGTTTGAAGATGGCCGGGCGCAGTGGCTCTCACCCGTAATCCCCGCATTTTGGGACGCCGAGGTGGGTGGATCACTTGAGGTCAGGAGTTCGAGACCAGCCTGGCCAACACAGTGAAACCCTGTCTCTACCAAAAAATACAGAAATCAGCGGCGCGTGGTGGCACGCGCCTGTAGTCCCAGCTACTCAGGAGGCTGAGGCGGAAGAATCGCTTGAACCTGAGAGGCAGAAGTTGCAGTGAGCCGAGATCGCGCCACTGCACTCCAGCCTGGGCGACACAGCGAGACTCCGTCTCAAGAAACAAAACAAAACAAACAAACAAAAACAAGAAATTGTTTGAACATTATACTACCAAGGCGCACGGCTTTCAATTGCCATCAACTCATCAGATGAGGCACAGCTCACAATGAGGTCTGAAAACGGCTTTTCACGCCGGGACCACTTTGAGAAACACACAGAAAAACGGGGCCAATTACAACAGCCAGACCGCTCCGTTTGTTTTAAGAACAATCACTTTCTAAATCCTCCTGCGAGACTCTCAAAGGCAGCCCTTCCATTGCCGCCAGAACCGTATCCCATCGCCCAGCACTTGCCGCAGGCCGGACAAGTGAGGCCCAAAAGGGCACCCAGCCCACGGCCCGCTTTAGAAAACACCGCACTGCAAAGCTGCTGGGAAAATCGCTCTCTTTTAGTCAACCTGAAGCCACTTTGCCGCACTTGGGGAAAGTCGGGGAGAGGAGGGAGGGACGCGATCCGCCACCAACCAAATCAGAGCCTTTCCTGTTAACGACCGTGCGGCAAGGGGGCCGGGGCCGGGCCCTCGCACACCTCGACGGCCTCCCCCGCTCCACAGGGACCCCGATATCGCAGGATCTCCCGACTCCCGCCTCTGCTCCCGACACCCTACGTTTTTCTCTTCTTTCTCATTTACGTATTTACAATAAAACAGCGAAGCTGCACGGTCTCTAATCAAACGCGGTTACCATCAAAGCCTCAGACTCCGTCTCAACCGCAAAAGGTCTGACAGGAAATCAACTCCGGAGTTTGTCAATTCTTTAGACTCAAAGCTCTCACCCAGTGCGGTGGTTCACGCCAGTAATCTCAGCACTTTGGGAGACGGAGACGGGAGGATTGCCTGAGCCCAGGAGTTCGAGACCAGCGTGGGCAACATGACGAAATCCCGTCTCAACAAAAAATACAAAACTTAGCCGGGCGTGGTGGCGCGCGCCTGTAGTCTCCGCTCCTCAGGAGGCTGAGATGAGAGGACTGCTTGACCCCAGGAGGCGGAGGCTGCAGTGGGCCGAGATGGTGCCACTGCACTCCCGCCTGGGCGACAGAGCGAGACTCTGTCTGAAAACAAAACAAAACCAAGCAAAAAAAACCTCTGTGAAAGTTTGAGTCATTCCTCATTCCTCGCCCCTCATACCCCGCCTCACCAAAAAGAGAACAGCTGAAAAAGGATCAGCTTGTCCCAGAAAGTCGGCATCAAGTATCTTATTAGCTGCAAAATCTCAAAATGTCACCCGCCCGGGCACCCCGGGAGAGGCGGCGGGTACCACCCAAAGCACCCCCTCAGAACACCCGGAATTTGAGGCTGCACCCCAGCCGCTATGCCAAAACGCTGAACAGGGCTGTGTTCCGCGGCTGCCCACCAGGGAAAATCAGTAAATTCAAGAAAAAGTGCGGCCGCACAGACCTGCTGTATCGCCGGAGCCCGGCGTCGCGACCGCCTACATTGTTTCCCGAACACTCGAGGCTTCGGAGAGAACCGTGGGCCGGAGGGCAACCAGGCCCAGCCTCTTTACACACTCTCGGCACAAGCCCGAATCACCCCAACGCCGAGCCACCAAGAGCCACGGGGATGCCATGAACCTCAGGATCACCTCACGTCTCAGGGACATCTTGAGCCCCTGAGACGACCTGAACTCTGGGCCATCTCTGTCCACCACGCCAAATTTCCCACCAGCGCGCTGAGCAATCGGCGGCAGATGGCCGATACTCAGAGGCCGCCCACCGACGTGCCCCGGCCGATGAGTAGCCAATCCTGCCGCCCCTGAATGGCCGCCTAAGTGGGTGCCGTCCAGACTCTGACAGAACTTGGGGCCCAAGTTAGTGGGCCAGTTGAGGCGAGGTCACCTTACCCTGTTCCTCGGTCCCCTCAGACATTGTGAGATGGCGGGGTCTAGCTCTGAGGCCCGCGACCTGAGGCCTATGTCTGCGCCGCGACTGTGTGGTAACTCCTTGGTAACTGCGTGGTAACTGCGTACACTCGTTGTCCGAGGCACAATGAGGCGCGGGCAGGAGCCTGGACCACGTCTCTGCGGCTGCGCAGTAGCACGTGACTCCTGGGGGGTCAAAGGGCCTCGCCCCCCCCCCCACTTTCGACCTATTTTCTTAAAGTGTCCTTTTTACAAAAATATATACATGTATGTGTATATGTATATATTTGTACTATATATGTGTGTGAATATATGTAGATATAGATACAGATGGGGAGAGAGAGAGAGAGAGAGATAATGATCTGGGAGCCAACAGTGTAATTCTGCTCGTCCCAAAAAGCACATCATAAAAAAAAAAAAAGTCCAATGTAAGAGAATTGCGTTCAGACTTTCTAGTGTTTTCCGGGTTGCTTCCTCACATCCGGTGCCGGCTTTGGGAACAAATCCGAAAACAAGCCGACTTTGAAAATGTGCCCCTAATAAATACCTAGCAACCCCTCTCCTCCCCTCCTTCCTGCCCCCTCTAGTAGTCTATAGCCTATTGTTCCCATCTCTCTGTCCCTGTGTACCGGATATTTAAGCTCCTACTTACAAGTGAGAAGATTCAGTATTTGGTTTTCTGTTTCTGTGTTAATTCACTTAGGAGAAAGGCCTCCAGCTGTGTACGTGCTGCTGCAAAGGACATGGTTTTGTTCTTTGTTACGACTGCATAGTTTTCTTTATTCGGTCCACCACTGATGGACACCTGGATTGATTCCATGTCTTTACTATTGTCTTCACACCTTTCAAAACCTGTCTCGGTACTACATCTGTTCGAATAATACCTCCATCAAGACACTTTCCGATAGCCCCCTGGTAAGAAGGATCCCACAGCAGGTAATCTTCACGTCCCTATTAGTATTTAAATTACTTTACCTGATATTATAAATCCTCGTCAACATGCCTCTCTCCTAAGTTCCTGGAGGACAGCACCATGTCTTATTTATATTTGAACACCACCTCCCTCACAAGATTCTAAGAATTAAATGTTATGAAATATAAAGAACCTGGTGCCTGGAATTTGGGATCCATTTCTTCACTGTGTCAGTTATACAATGACTCTTGGGACTGTGGGTCTCTTCATTTGGGGGAAGGGTAAGAATTTCTTTACTTGTGAGAAGCAAAGGTGTATATTGTTAGGTAGAAACAGAGTTGTTTTGCTATCGTACCAGAGTGTACATATGTGTAGGAGGATGCATAGAGAAACCGAGGGCTGAAATGGATACACTGTGCTGGTTACCAATGTGTTACCTCTCACCTCCAACTTCACCCACTTTTGCCGACTCTGTGAAAGTGGATGTGGGCCCTTTAAATATTTTTCCCTTTGTCAGTAACACAGTTTAAACCTTTGGCAGTAGAAGGTGCTAAAAGGAGACCGTAGGAGGAGAAGGTTTTTTTTGCCTCCTGGTTGACCTGTGCTCTCTGAGGACATTGATGCAAAGTGTAGCTTTCTCCTGCAGGAGAAGGCAGATTTCCAGTACTTTATAGAGGATATATTTCCAGCAAATTCATCAAGTTGCAAGGTTGGGTTTCCAGCAAATTCCAGAGAATAGATTTACAGTGAAGTCCACCAGTGCAAGCCATTGAGTGAGTCTTAGACACTGTGTCTCAACCCTAAGGGTAGTGCCTGTTTCTTATAGCTGTAATTTGTAAAGAATATTTTAGAATTTTATTATTAGCTAATCTCTCATTACTCCAGTCCTCTTTTATACTTAATAATTTTTTCTTTCTTTCTTTCTTTCTTTTTTTTTTTCTGAGACAGGGTCTGGCTCTGTCATCCAGGCTGGAGTGCAGTGACTCGATCATGGCTCACTGCAGCCTGGATCTCCCAGGTTCAAGCAATCCTCCCACCTCAGCCTCCTGAGTAGCTGCGACTACAGGCATGCACCACCATGCCCAGTTAATTTTAAATTTTTTTGTTGAGATAGGGGTCTCCCTATGTTGCCCAGGCTGGTCTCAAACTCCTGGGCTCAAGTGATCCTCTCGCCTCAGCCTCCCAAAGTGTTGGGATTAGAGACATGAGACACCACACCCAACCAATAATTCTTTACATTAAACTTTCCCTGTTCAAATTACCACATAGTGTTTCTCTTCATATTGGACCTGGAGGGATGCACCCACCTTTTGGGATTTCCTTCTAGCACACAGTACTCAATAGGTACACAAGGTTTGTTCATGGACTGTAATTGAATAGCCAACAGATACTCAGTAATCCCCTTCAGTTTAATTTCTGGTCAGTCCTCTCCATTCATTTGCCTGACGCCTCTTCACAGAGAGAGGTGGGAGGGAGGGAAGAAACACTTTCCTATTGTCACGCCTAAGACTGACTTTCCATTTCCTGTCCTACCTAAGCTACATTAACCTGAGCAGGAAGAACAGCAGGCAAGGGAGGCTTCCCAGCCACGGGAGAAGTGGGAGGAGATGCTGCAAAGCTGTCTGTTCCCAGGTGCAAGCTGGACCACAGGAGCTACAGAGCAGGTATTTCTGTCAACAGCCAGTACAGTCACAGCAATGTGGAGTTCCGCAGCCTGTAATTGTGGACTGGTAAACATCTTCTGAAAGACAACTAAAAAAAAAAAAAACTGGATGCAATGTTTTTTAAATATTATAGCATTAGGCCGGGCGCGGTGGCTAAAGCCTGTAATCCCAGCACTTTGGGAGGCCGAGGCAGGTGGATCACGAGGTCGGGAGTTCAAGACCAGCCTGGCCAAGATGGTGAAACCCGGTCTCTACTAAAAATACAAAAATTAGCCAGGCGTGGCAGCGGGTGCCTGTAGTCCCAGCTACTCGGGAGGCTGAGGCAGGGAATTGCTTGAACCTGGGAGGTGGAGGTGGCAGTGAGCCAAGATTGTGAAACGGCACTCCAGCCTGGGTGACAGAGCAAGACTCTGTCTATACACACACACACACACACACACACACACACACACACCATTAAAGAATATCATAAAGTTAACAATTTCTGAGCTAAGATCTGAGAAAGACCCAAAACCTAGATAGGTGTGAGAAACTGAGAGCATTGCTTTTGTTCTTGGACATTTGCTGATGCAGAGGAGGCCAAAGGAGGCTGAGCTACACGTTGGGTGGTTTTGTGGAACTGAGGGACAAATTTGGAATCTGGGACCCACCAAAGCAGAGTTTGTAAACCACCTCCCACCTCAAACTGGGACCACAAAGAGACAAATCTTTAGAGTAAAAGTAACCAAAAACTAACCATGTGGTCTCTAGATCAGCCTCATGTCACCTGCGAATTTAGCACTCCCAGGTGCCTGCATAAAGCAAGCAAACATTCTCTCTTGCAAAGGTAATGGTAACTTATTTCTACAAAGAATTATTTATTTTATTTATTTATTTTCAAAGATATTATTTTTTAAATGTTTTTTATTTCAATAGCTTTTGGGGTACAAGTGGTTTTTTGTTACAGGGATGAAATATATAGTGGTAAATTCTGAGATGTTACTGCATCCATCACCCAAGTAGTGTACACTGTACCCAATCTACAGAGTCTCACTCTGTCACCCAGGCTGGAGTACAGTAGCACAATATCGGCTCACTGCAACCTCTGCCTCCCGGGTTCAAGCGACTCTCCTGCCTCAGCCTCCTGAGTAGCTGGGACTACAGGTTACAGGACTACCACGTTTGGCTTTTTTTTTTTTTTTTTTTTTTAAGTAGAGACAGGGTTTCACTATGTTGGCCAGGCTGGTTTCGAACTCCTAACCTCTGGTGATCTGCCTGCCTCAGCATCCCAAAGTGCTGGGATTACAGGTGTGAGCCGCTGCAGTTTTTTTAATTCCACACCATCCTCCCACTCTCCTTCTTCTGAGTGTCCAATGTCCATTATGCCGCTCTGCATGCCTTTGTATACCCATAGCTTAGCTCCCACTTGTAAGTGAGAACATGCAGTAAGTGGTTTTCCATTCCTGAGTTACGTCACTTACAATAATGGCCTCCAGCTCTGTCCAAGTTGCCGCAAAAGACAATATTTCATTCCTTTTTATGGCTGAGTAGTATTCCATGGTGTATATATACCACGTTTTCTTTATCCACTCATCGGTCAGTGGGCACTTAGGATGGTTCCATATCTTTGTAATTGTGAATTGGGCTGTAATAAATCTACGTGTGGCAGGTGAATCACTTCAGGTCAGGAGTTCAAGATCAGTCTGGCAAACATGGTGAAACTCCGTCTCTACCAAAAATACAAAAAAAAAACACAAAAAAATTAGCCAGGCATGGTGGCAGGCACCTGTAATCCAAGCTAGGGGCAGGGGCAGGTTCCTAGCATCAACCTGGTTGATTTGCAGGGGAAGCAAGCAGGCCATGCAAGAGGAGAGGGAGAGTTGACTTAAATGCAGCCCACAGGACACGAGACGGGACAATATGGCCACAGAGCAGTGTCCAGCTGCCCAAGGCGCCACTCTCCACTTGTTTCCACTCCACTCCATTCAAACTCCTGCCACCCGGGGGGGTTCCATCTCACCAGGCACAGTGGTCATCACCCCTGGCTTGGAGCCCCGGACACAGCTCCGGTGGCCTGGCCAAGGCGTGCAATGCCATGCTTTCATGAGGCCCTGAGAGCCTGCTGCTTTGCTGACCCCAGTGTCTGCAGTGGGTTTTTGGCCCTAAGGGCAGGTTTGAAAAGGAGTGTGTATTAGTCAGGGTTCTCCAGAGGGACAGAACTAATAGGATAGATGTATATATAAAGGGGAGTTTATTAAGGAGGATTGACTTACACGATCACAAGGTAAAGTCCCACAATAGACCATCTGCAAGCTGAGGAGCAAGGAAGCCAGTCCGAGTCCCAAAAGCTCAAAAGGAAGGAAGCCAGCAGTGCAGCCTTCAGTCTGTGGTCGAAGGTCCAAGAATCCAAAAGCTGAAGAACTTGGAGTCTGATGTTTGAGGGAAGGAAGCATCCAGCATGGGAGAAAGATGTAGGCCAGAAGACTAAGTCAGTCTAGTCCTTCCACGCTCTTCCACCTGCTTTTATCCTAGCCGTGCTGGCAGCTGATTAGATGGTGCCCACCCAGATTGAGGGTGCGTCTGCC